GAATCTTATCTTTGAATAATTCAAATACGAATAGTATTTTTGTCCTCTTAGAATATTATACCTTAAATAAAGAGTTAAAGATAATAATATTCAAGGTAAAAATGCAATTATTCCAAACAATAATATTCAAGGTAAAAATGCAATTATTCGATTTTGACTTTTAACTTTGACTTAAACTCTTAACTCAAATGATTAATTAACTAAAGTTAGGTTTAATATCGATTGACTTATTTAACCCCTTTTGATTAATAGTGTAATTAGGGTTTAAATTGGCATGATTAAAATATAATCCTATGTCGACAATTTTGATTCTATAGTTTTGACCTCTGGTTGGTTGACCAGGTGGTCTGAAAGATCTTCTCTGTTGGTTAAATTGTGGTTGGGTAGATGGTCTGAGATTTTGTTGGTTATTTCCATATGCTGGTCTCTCTGTGGGGTAACCATGCAATTGGTAGCATGTGTTAATTGTGTGTCCTGGCCTCTTACAGCCAGTGCAGTAAGGCCTTTCAGTTTGAGGCCTTGGTGGTCTGTAAGGTGCTTGTGCCAATAGGGTTGTTGCTGATTCCTTTGGTGTCTCCATATTCTTTGTTTGCTCATCTTGAGTCACCATTGAGTATTCCTTGTTTAGATCTGGCTGAGGGTTCATTTGCATTATTTGCCTGCTTAATTGTTTGTAGGTCTCATTCAATCCATTCAGGAATTTTATGAGTTTTTCTTCTTGTATTATTTCCACACTTTTCCTGCTCATGTCATATTCATTCCATAATGTTGTCAGTTTTGTGTAGTAATTGCAGACTGAATCTTCTCCTTGTGTGAGATTCATGATTTTTACTTGTAGTTGGAAAACTAGTAGTCCATTCTGTATGTGGAACCTTGCTTTTAATTCCTTCCACAGTAGGTGTGCTTATTTGTAAAAGATAAAAGTTGGAGAGAGTTCCTGACTTAGTCCATTTAGTATCCATGATCTTACTAGAGCATCGGTTGCTTTTCATTTCTCGTATTCTTTTTCATTTGTTTGCTCTGGAGTGATTATTTCACCTGTTAGGATTTTTTCTTTGTTTTTGGATTCCACAGCTATAACAAACTGTGCATTTCAAATGTTTCAGTTGTTGCCATCCATTTTGAATCTGAATCCCTGGGTTGTCTGAATATGTTGGGATAACATTTTCATTTGACATTTTGTTTCTGAAAAATAAATAAATGCAGATAATGAGAATGATGCTGGAAAATATCAGGATATAGGTGGTGTTACTATGGAGTGTATAGATCATGTGGTGGTGCCGAGACAGTTTCCTGTTTATCAAGCTCCTTTTGATCCCGTGGCTTGGAAAAATGCAGCTTGGGCTGGTAGAGTGTTTGAAAACCCTAGGAGCTGGTGGGTGAAATATATGAGGAATAATGAAGATCCTGATTTTGTGGATGATAATCCAAATGAGGGACCATAACCACTTGAAAGTGATCCTGATGATGAGGAACCTGATGGTTTTGATGAAGACTGGAATGTTGATGGAGGAGCTGGTGGTATTTATTGGCTTAGTGATGATGAAAAGGCTAGGGAGAGTGATGACTATTGTATTTTTAAATGTGAAGAAAATGACTGTGTGAGTATGCTAAGGCGTAGAAGATGGAAGGCACAGCTGAGGGCTCACTATAAGGATAAGGCTCTGGACCTTGGTGTCTGGGATGGAAAGTATCTTCCTCGTCTAATGATGAGTCCTTAATTGGGTGAATGGTGTTTTAGAATGATGTCCTTAACTGATGGAACTCTTTTACTTTACTGGAAAAAAACTTTTGATGAAAGAAAAACTTAATGAAATATATATATAAGAAAAAAATGTGATGAATATTTTATGATTTTCTTTAGGTGTAAAAAATGAAGATTATTTTGGAGTCTCTGATGTGAGAAATGATGTGAAAGACGAAGGATTCAAGTTTGCTAATGTAGGCAGTTCTGTTGATATGGATGCTATATTGGATAATATGGATGATGTATGGGATAATCCTACTTCGATTATGGGTTCAGATGATATAAAAAGATTTTCACAGCAAATCACTGATGTAGTTAATCGTGGGGATGGTGAGATTGATCCAGATTATGGAATGTTTCTTTTGATGAAACTGAAAAGGGAGGCTGAACTTGTGAAGAGGGAGCAGATGGGAAGGAAGTTTTAACTTTAACAGATGGGAAAAAAACTTTAACTTATGGAAGAAGAAAAACTGACTTGTTGTTGTATGATTAACAAGATCTTTTACCGCTCTGATACCATATTAGAATTGCTACTAAGATGTATGATTATGCTTATGATAAAAGTATTGCAACAATTTATAAATGATAATATTTGAAAGTAAATGATTATACAGATTCGAGATGATTGCAGGAGTAGAGAGCTGGAGATGATGAAGATGGTGAGCAGATCGGATGAATGATCTCCAGATGAGCAGATGACTTGATCAGATGATTTGAATATAGCAGCACTGATTACAGATTCCAGAAGACAGATTGAAGAAGATCCCAGAAGACAGATTAGAATGGAGATGGTGATTTATGACCAACAACTTGATGATTCCAAAACCTGACATTTGTGTTATGGTGATTCATACTTATAGGTATAATCCCAACGGCTATATGGGTTTAGATGAGTTTGGTTGGTGTGATTAATTAAGGTAATAAATGGATTAGGAAATAGGTATATATTAGAATAAATGGATTGGGAAATAAATGATAAGTATATGTATATAGGTACTAAAGATAAATTTCTCAATAATAATTCTAATAGACAAAATTGAAAGAAAAAAAAACAGGTATCAGACATGATGGACCATGGCCCGATCTGGTGTTGAAATGGACCCAAAAAGGTTTAAGAAGAAAATCTTGTTTGATAGATAAAAGGCAACTTCTTAAATCAAACAACCAGTCAAACAGAAAACTAACCAGACCACTCGATGGTAGTAGATAGAGATGATTTGATTATTCAAGAGATATCAGATGATCAGATCACATCGGAATTCTTTTTCATTGAGTTCAAGGATTAGGATTTGGTTTTCTGATGACGGGACGTTAGAACAACCGACCAATCAATGACATGATTGAAGACAGTGAGGTCCCTATTACATTAAGCCATCAGTTCAAGTCTTCAAGATGATCTGGATTTTAGTTGTCAAGTAGATAAAAGCAAAGATTATTGACTTAAATAATTAAAATATTTGCCACTTGGCAGATCGGGATTGGTGGGTTTTTCTCCAACAGGCTGAAATGTGAATCTCCAGACAACATAACTCATTCTTCCAGCTAGCTGTAAAGATTAAACTAAAACGCTGATAGCTTCTTTTTACCAAAAGGCTATTCTTAATTTCGTATTTTAATAATACAATTACCAATTTGCCATTAGATAAAAAGACATTGATGGATGATGATGGATTAGTACATTAATTATGTAATTAAATATTCAATTAATTATCGATAATTTGAACACCAGTTTTCATCATCATATCGATGTAACGCTGGTTTGACTCCTGTTTTTCCAACAGAAGCTGTTTGTGCCGTCTCTTAATGAAAGCTTCGTATTGAAGGTTCAGCTCAGCGCTTCCGATCTCTTCTATTTCCATCCTCCTCACCGGCGCTCTCCGTCGGGAGGTAGCTTTCTTGACGGTATCGGATTTTTTCATCTTCGAACGATCAGCATTCTCCTTCGATATATCAGTTATTGTTGGGGACTTGAAATTCTCGACTACCCTCGTTGCTTCTTTTCTTGTTTCACTCTTCTCCAACACATTTCTTGTCGGAGTCACCGCCATTATCGACTCCCACGTCGCGTCCATCGTTTTCAACTCCGACAACGACTCGTCCTCGGGAACTATTGGAGCTTTGTAATTTAAGTCGTCAGCGAGAGTGATATCAGCCGGAGCGAATTCGTATTCCGCATCTAACTCATCGCATGTAGCAGCGACGCTCGAAACCGGATGGACGGATTTGGTGGTCTCCAACGCCGATGGAGAAGAAAACCCCACAGCGGTTTCGTATGGAACTGCTCTGGGACTGAGAGTGATCAAGGGTGGTGGTGTTTCCAGCTGTTGACATTGCTTATCGTAAGTCGAAGAGGAATGTTTGGCGTGACGTTCCGACAGCATCCAAATGACAACGATGATGAAGTTAAGAAGGAAGAAAAGGTAAGGTTGGACGAGAAACTCTCGTCCGACGATCCATGCGGACGGGAGAGTCGTGGTGAAGAGGTGAGTTGAGTAAGGAACGACGAATCTAACGGTGAGGAATAACGAAACGACAACCGCGAGGAGAAGAACGGCGGGATTAGCTCTGGCTTTCGAAACCGGCCACATGATCATGTTCGAATTGGTTGCAAAGAAAACCTTTTTGGTGAAGTGATTATATATATAGTCTGATCTCCGATGATGACGTGGATATTAATGAGTGATGATTAGAAATAAGTAAGTGGTTAGATGTAGACAGATCACGTTCGTTTAGATTAATCAACAATTTGGATTAAATAAAACACACGATCTAATTTGAGTTGATTGATACGATTCTAAAGAGGATGTGTCTGGTTAGTCAATCGCAGATGGTTGGATGGTTTGGTACTTAAATACAGTCGTCAAAGAAAAAAAAAAAAATAAATAAAAAAAATAAAAAAAAATAAAATAAAAAAGTAATATTCTATCTGTCGGAATCCGGACATGATCAATGTTTGACAGTGGTTTTAATTTTAATTTAAGCAGTCTTATTATAGTCTTATGTGTTAAATCCGGATATTGTAGTGGATTTGTGGACTGTACAATGATTGTCGACAAGTAGTTGGTTATATAAATTAGATTCATATCCAACACATTATGATTTATCATGTACTGGTTGGGGGTTCACTTTCGTTTGCTATTCTTTCATTTTCATTTTTATTTTTATTTACTATTACTATTTATTATTTTATTTACCGCACGTGCCACATATACAGAATTGAAGTAAAAAAATAATTGATTAGTAAAAATTAAATTGCGGTGAGGGTGGATCGAACACCCGACCTTCAGATCTTCAGTCTGACGCTCTCCCAACTGAGCTATCCCCGCTTAATATTATTTATGATAAATTAACAATTACAAAAAAAAATTATAAAGCGCAAAATTTAAATTCAAAATTTTATTGTCCTGTCAGAGTGGTCCCAATTCCCAAATGCTTTAATTACACTTTACAACCACGTACTATATTATTACATCACTACCATTTACTTTTGTAAAAAAAAATAGAGTTAAAAATAATAAAAAAGAAGTCTTTATTTTCATCCTAAAACTCTAAAAGTAAACTGCCAAATAAATAAACAGTTAATTAGTTATATCAATTTATCGACTGATAAATTGTAATGTAATTTAAATAGTGATAGTAATTAGTAATTACTAAAATAATATATACATTTTTAAACACTCGTCTAAATTACATATTGTTTATATAAAGTTATAAAAAAAAACACAAATTGCAACAAACATCAAAATATATATACATATGCCATATCCATTCATTATTACTTATTTGAGAAAAATCAACAACAATTTACCCTCACGAGTCACGAGCCACGGCGGCTCACCAGAACGACAGTTTCACATAAATGCAATGTCTCGCCCCAAATCAACTTTCAATCTCATCCTCTTCCTTCCTTCCTTCCTTCCTTCCTTCCTTCCTTCTTCTTTAACTTGCGAAAAAGGCAGACACACTACAGACAACAGACAGACAGACATGTTTGAGACTTGCGAGAGACGGAACCCATAATGGATGGCGTCCAATTACGTGACGGGATCGGAGGACAAGTCCGACGACGGCGACCAGACAACAGATCTAGCTATAGTAGTTTAGTTTTCCTACGAATTGAACAAAAACAAACGTACTGCAACGGCGACAACACGGACGGACGGATAGATGGTGATTAAGAAACTATCATCTCCCTCTGCCTGTCTGGAGAATAAGAGATCGATTGATCGATCGTTCGATCAAAGATGGATGGATGGATAAAAAGAAAATACCATAACTAAAAACACACACACACAAACAACAGCTAACGTGGCTCGTCCTCTCTTCTCCCGGACGGATGGGTAGAGGGACCAGAGAGAGAGGCGAGGAGGTTTAGATGGCCTTGCGCTATTGGCAAATAGTTACCCACTCTTGCAGCGGATGCTTCTCCGATCGTCTGTCCTCCTTCTGGAATGGATGTAAATCTCCCGGAGACAGGTGGAACTTGGACCAACTCCGGTGTTGCAAAACTCCAAATTTGGCCGAACTCCGGTCTAGCCCAGAAAGCTCCGGCAGCACCGAATCCCACTCCATACCCTCCTCCTCCTCCTCCTCCTCCAGCTCCAACTCCAACTCCAACACCGCTGGGTCCAAGTCCTCCGGACCCGTTGTCTTCCTTCGGTCCGTTGTCGGGGCTTTCATCGTTCCGCAGCCGTTTTCCTAGAATAAACGGTCCGGGGGCAAACCCCGGTGTCTGAGCGAGTTGGTGGTGCTGAGACAATGACTTGTAATCGGAGAGAAAAGCCGATGACGAAGTTGACGTCGAAGATGGTGAGGACTGTGTAGTATTATACCCATTACTGTTACCTCCTCCATTCCTGAGCGAAACAGTAACCGTTGAGAAGGACGCCGGAGTAGTACCCGTACCAGTAGCAGCGATAATAGAAGGTTCTGCCTGACGGAGCAACCACTCTATAGTCTGACCGTCAGACTTGTGCCCAAGTTCTCTTGTAAGCTGGAAAACACGTGCTGCACAGATAATCGGCATCCTGATTCTCCTCCCTCTACCATCCACCTTACTATGCCGATCCTTCGCTGGAGGCTTCTTAGCAACCGTGGTTGCAGTAGTGACCGCAGTATTTGCGCTGACGTTGCCAACAGGCACTGCCTGGAGCGGTTGTGGTTGTTGTTGTTGTTGGAAATTTTGCTGTTGTTGAAGAAGATGGCGATGGTGGTGGTGGTGGTGATGATGAGGGTCCGGCAGGGCCCTGGCATCAGCGCCGTTAGCCCCGCCGCCGTCTGACGTTGTCATGGTTGTGGGGAATAGTATAGACTACGACTTTGGGTTGAGTTTGTGTTGCCTTGTAGAGAGCAATAGACTAGTAGTAGAGAGATTTGAAAATTGAGAATAGATAGGAAGATAGGTAGATAGATGGAAAAAAAAAAAGCAAGAAGGAAAGAGAGCTAATCATTGAGGGGCAGCAGCCGGCAGGAGCGGGTGGAGACAGACAGAAGCTGAGACTCTCAGAACACTCTCTATGAGAGAGCACATGGAGATGTGGGACCCAATCCAACTCATCACTCTCTACTACTCTTCAATCTCCAACCTGTTCCTGTCTGTTGATTATTATTATTATTATTATTATTATCGGATCAAATCTATCTTCCCAAACTACCCTCACTGTTCCACTCTAATTCTCCCTCATGCCACTGTGACCAAGCTGAAATTGGTCGGACAGACAGACATCAATATTTGTCAAATTAAAAATAGGCAAGTTGGGATTGTGACCACCGTCGGTCTTCTTCTTCCGCCTCTGTGGGACATGCCCGGGATGGTTGGAGGTTCGGGACTCATCTGCATAGATAGAGAGACCGGCGGTGGGTTTCTAGTTTCTACTTTCTAGTAGAAACGGGGACAGAGTTATATTAGATGTAGGGATATTTTCGGTAATCAATTAATTAGCAGTTATTATTTATATCTGAAGCGAAGAAAAAATTCAGTTTAGGGTTTAGACACATATGATATAAGTCCACAACATACGAAGACTTTAGGAGGGTTTTGACAGTGAGATTAATGTTTTTTCAGAACAGTACTTGGTAGATGTCGGTAGTTAATACCTAATTATCCGTTGCAGTTGGTCAGGAAAAGGGTAATTAGTATAGAGTTTAGGGTTTAAACCTAGATTATAACATGCGTGTTGATTTTTCTCTCCTAGGAAAAAGTTAAAAAACATAGTCCTTTCAAACTGACAGCGACGTATCCATTATTTTCCACATCATCATAGAGAAAAGAAAAGAAGAAAAAAATCGCATCTGTGATCTGTCAGAGAATTGACGATTGAATTACGAAAATACCCACGCCGTCGCCTGACTGGTCGTTGTCACTCTCCTTACAGTGTTAGGTGCGCAAGACCCGACGTTGCCGGACTGTTTCCTTCGTTCCCACCCACGAGCATTAGCATTACATTATATAGGTTCTGGTTTTGCATGCTCCCTTGCCTTCTTCCTGCATGGCATACATGCACGTGCATCTGATTCTATGTCAACAATGGGTCATTGTCTGATCGATGGATCGATCGAACAGTAGCATTAGCAATAGCATCCTTTGGTTTTTGTAGACGAATCAGAATCGTGGCGTTGTAGAAATCTATCTCGTCGCCTTTCTACCAAAGCCGGACAGTTTTGCCCTGAAAGTTCTCGGAGACCTAGAAATAGCATGTGTCCTGAACAGTATCTGCAGGGACTGTTTGTCCAAGAGAAGAAGAAAAACCTCTATACTTGCAGGTGGAATCTTACTATATCTTACACATGGTGTGTGTGCGCGCGCTCGTTGCTCCAATTTCCCACCATGACCTCATCACGTATTTCATTTCCCTCCACCCAGTGACCCAGCTCGATATTTTCCATCCGGTGAGTCTGTGGTCAGATAAAGGTGTTGCCATGCAATGCAGCCCGTGCTGGTTTTCATGAGGATCGTATCGAATCAGGCGTGATGATTGGTGATATACTGATATGTTTTCATTTGGATATAACTTTAACCATGGATATAGTTATGAGATATAACATCTTATCCGTCTATTATCATCTATATATCCAATTAATTTTTATCGAGATTTGTATATACATGCATGTTGTCTCACCATTATCTCATCAAATGTATCTCACAAAGCTGAAGTGACCGTTACAGTTGATCTTTGATCTATTTCTCTCTCTCATTCGACTCTAGTAGCTAGTGTACACTCATTAATTAATCTGCCACTGCTTATCCCGATGTAAGCAGTATAAATAACAATGTTGCCTTGATATTGGGCCTGGGCTAAGGAGTATCCCAATGTCTTTACTATACTACAAACAACAAAACAAAGACAAAATTCGAAAATAGAGTCATCAAAGAAATCTTTCTAGGATACTCTTTCCAAAGAAAGGGTTACAAAGTGCTCAACTTATTTAACCAAAAAATCTTCACAAACAGAGATGTTACTTTTTATGAAGAGATATTTCCCTTCAAAGAAGAACCCAAACAACATGAGAGAAATTTCTTTAATGAAGAATCATCAGTAGAAACAAACACACAGACAATAAACACCATTCCTTCACATGACCAATATGAGTCAAAAGAAGATGAGGAGACAATTTCTCAAATTTCCCAAATCCCTCCTTCAATGGATGAAGCTACTGAACATTATGAGTCAGAAGAAGAGGAAGAAATGACTGAAAATACAATACCAACTAACAATAAGGGAACCAACAGAACATCAAAAAGGATTAGAAAAATGCCCTCATACCTAAAAGACTATAAACTACAACTGGCATCATCTAGATACCCAATAGGAAAACTAATATCATGCCAAAACTTTACTCCAGAACATTATGCTCTCCTCACAGCAATAAAGAGCAATAATGACCCAAATTCATACAAAGAAGCATCCAAACATGCCAAGTGGAACAATGTCATGAAACAAGAGCTTGAGGCTCTTGAAAACAACAAAACTTGGACAATCACTGGGATTCCTGAAGGAAAGAAACCAATTGGATGTAAATGAGTTTACAAGACCAAATTCAACAGTGATGGAACTGTTGAAAAACATAAAGCAAGACTAGTGGCCAAGGGATACAACCAAGTTGAGGACATAGATTTCACAGAAACTTTTGCCCCTATCTCCAAGATGACAACACTAAGAGTCATCTTAGCAATAGGAGTATCCAAGAAATGGCATATGCATCAAATGGATGTACAAAATGCATTTCTACATGGAACTCTAGAGGAAACTATATATATGAAAATCCCTTTGGGATTAGAAATACCAAAAGACTCACCACCTAATTCAGTCTCCAAACTGAATAGGTC